ACTGAGCCAGCCAAGTGCCTCAAAGTTTTTAAATATAACAAATATTTGGTAGAATTCACCAGTAAAGCAATTTGGGCCTGGAGTATTATTGGAGGGAAGGTTCTTAACTACAAATGCAATTTCTTTAACAGATACAGAGATATTCAGATTATGTACTTCTTGAGTGTGCTTTGGTAATCTGTCTTTCAAATGAATTTTTCATTTCATTAATTTATTAAATTTATAGGCATAAACACATACAAAATTCCCTTGTTATCCTTTTAACATCTGTAGAATTGTAGTTATGACATGATATTGGCAAGTTGTGTCTTGTCTTTGTCTCTCTGTCTCTCCTTTTCTTAATCAGTTCAAGTGGAGATTTATCAATTTGATCTATTTAATCACAGAACCAGTTTTTAATTTCAATGATTTTTCTTTTATTTTTGTTTTCCATTACATTGACTTCCACTTTGATCTTTACTATTTCCTTTCCTCTGCTTACTTTGAGTTTAATTTGCTCTTCTTAAGTTTCATAAGGTAAAAGTTTATAACGTAGAAAGTCACCAAATTCAGATGTTCTTTTTTTTCTTATATAGGTGTTTAGTGCTATTTAATTTTACCTAAAGGGTAATTTAGCAGGATCACACTAAATCATCAGTGTTGTGTTTTCATTCTCATTCAGTTAAAAATATTTGCTAATTTCTCTTTTGATTTCTTCTGTACTCATGGGTTATTTAGGACTGGGTGCGCAAAAGAGATCATCTACAGACCTCTGGGATTCCCTATGAGTTCTCTATGGGGTTCTCTCCACTCTGGTGGTCTGTCCTCTGAACTCTGGCTGCCTTGGTCTCCCTGGACTTCCTGTTCTCTCTTAACTCAAGAGTGCCTGCTGAGTTTTGCCTGGGTTTCCCCCCCCCCCCCCCCGCTCATGCCCACCCTGTGCTATGTGCTGGAAATTCTTTCAATGCATTAGATGGAAGCAATCATAGGACGACTCTTGCTTCTCATATCTCAGGGATCACTGTCCTTAGTTGTCTGACAGCCAGTGTCTTGAAGACTACTGTTACATATATTTTGCCTGGTTTGGGGGATATTTCAAGGAAAAGAGTAAATCTGGTCCCTATTGCTCCATCTTAGCTAGAAAAATAAATCATTTTATTCTGTTTTTTATATATCATTATGAATTCAAGATTTTTGTACATTTGGTTTGCTTTAACCCATTTCAGCCATTTTCCTTTTTGATATTCAAAGTAAGCCAACTTAGGCCACTGGGAACCATTTCATGTTTACTTTGGGTCCTTTTGACGTGTTTCTATTAGTTCATTCAGTGGCAAATGATATTTAGGCACTACCATCTAGACGCTAGGGGTTAATTACATATTTGCATTTGCTAAATCTGTTTTTGAAGAGTAGGAGGGAAAACAATATAGAAATATTTTATATTTATAAACAGATACATTGCGGTGAAAGAACAAACATACCTGTGTTGGAGAAGACTCAATTCTGTCACATACAACACGTCACTAAGATTCTCAACTGTTAAATGGAGACCTCAAAAGTTCTTATTATTGCTTCTTAAATATGGGTCTCAATGTTTCCAAACACAGCCTAGTGAACCTGACTTTATCTTCTCAACTTGGCTGCATTCAGTCTTAGCTATCTCTGGACTCTAATTTGCAATCATAGGAGCCTAGAAGGAAGACCTCCTACTCTAAGATTATTTGATATTAGCAGAATTTATCTGAAGACTAAGGGTATTTCGTCAATAAATATTGCAAAATGAGTAACAGTCTAGTCAAGGCTGAGAGCATCAAAGTAAAATTGAGCCCAACGAACCATAGTAATAGGATGTCAATATTTTTCCACCTATTCCAAATCTTCTGTCTTCTTGCCCTTGGTGTAACAAATCCCCAATTTTCCTTTCTAAATTATTAATTTGGTTTCTTAGTTTCAGGGAAACCCCCCTCATAGTCCCTTCTAGGTTAATGATTCTGTTTTTAAATTTATTTATTTAAGAGAGAGAGAACAAGCATGTGCACAGGAGAGGGGGGAGCAGAGAGAGAGGGAGAGAGAATCTCAAGCAGACTCTGCACTGCCAGCACAGTGCCTGACACAGGACTCAATCTCAAGAACCATGAGATCAAGACCTGACCGAAATCGAGTAGGAATCTTAACCGACTAAGCCACCCAGGTGCCCCATAGGTCAATTACTTTTAAATGCATAAGTTCTTCTGGGTACAAAAAACTCTAAAGATAGATCATCTAATTTAGACACATCTCTTCATAGACAGGAAACTAAATCATGGAGGTTTTATGTCATTTGCCTCTTTTAGCAAACTGAGAGCCAGAGACTTAGAAAAGTAATATATTGGAAAGAATTTCTAAACCATATAAACTTAAACATATTTACACCAATAGCTCTCAACACTCTGCATCTCACATCTCTTAAATCATTAATTTAAAAATTATATACCACGATGATAAGAAGGGTAACACAACTTCTTCGGAGCATTTATATATTTATAAACATTTTGTGAATGTAAATTACATTTTGTGCAATATCTGAGTATGAAAACTGTCAGAATGCAAATATTTTAACCCAAAAGCTTTTATTTTATTAAAACCTGAGTTCTTTTTTAAATTTTTTTAATGTTTGTTTATTTTTGAGAGAGACAGAGACAGGATGTGAGTTAGGGGCAGAAAGAGAGGGAGACACAGAATCTGAAGCAGGCTCCAGGCTCCGAGCTGTCAGCACAGAGCCCCATGTGGGGCTCAAACTCACAAGCTGTGAGATCATGACCTGAGCGGAAGTCAGACGCTCAACCAACTGAGCCACCCAGGTGCCCCTAAAACATGATTTCTACCCTTAGTATTCAAGAGATAAAAACAATTAAAATAGCTTTAGAGAAGCTATGCATGCTTAAAATTCCATCTTGCCTTTATTTGAATCCAGGAAAATAAGCAATATTATACCACCAACCAGTCTTCTCATCAGAGCAAAAGACTTTATTGACCAACAAAGAATGATCCTCAAAAGTCTGTGGACTGGCTTTGATATTAATCCAGTAGATCCTAACTACTGACAGTCCAAACCACCAATTCTGGCCTATAATCTTCAGAAGAACATTCTCAGCAAATTCAGCCTTCCAACGCAGACATTTGCTATTTGCTATAGCTGCTATTTTGTCACTGAGAGTAATTCTGATCTTTTAAGTACCAGTGTACCATAATTTTTGGCCATCTCAAAATGCTCAGGGAAGCACTTACTGATCTAATAAGTCTTGTTTTGTCTTTAATGAGTACAATTTCTAGCGATCATAAAAATCCCACATATGGTCATTTTAACACTTGTTGTGCACAATCTGTTCATCCAAAGGCATTTCTACTCTACACTATAAACAACATTAGATGTGACTAGAAAAACATTCATCCACCAAGATGTTCCAGGCCAAGGTTATAGGAAATGAATAAAAATTATGGTCATGTATGGTCTTGGTTACACTAAGATATTCTGATAGAACAATAATTGAGAATGATGTGTTTTTCCTCTCACTCAGCTTTAGTCTCTGATCCTCAAAAAACAATTAAAGTTGGTCAGTTATCAGTCATTTAAGACACAGGACAATCACAGGATCTGTTTCAGACACACCAGACCAAACCAGTGATTTGATATTCTTCTCTCAAAGTTTGCTCTGATTTTCAAGCAACTTAGATATAACAAAATCCATTTTAATACTAGGAGTAACATTAGCTTAGCATTTACTGCAATTTTGACACTGAGGCAAGCACCTTGCATGTATTATTTCAATTAATACCCTGAAAAATATTTGTCTACTCAGCTAATAAGTGCCAGAGACAAGATTCAAACTCAAGCAAACAACAGAGCCCAGGTACCTATCCCCTGTGCCTTTATTGGAGAGTCCCACATAACTCATTATCATTTGCTCTCTTCCTAGAAAGAAAAGAAAAAGATTATTTCCCACTAAACTGTAAGCTTAAAGAGACCTGAAGAGACCAAGCCCTAAGAAACCTGGGATCTCAACCGGTTTATTTCAACATTGTGCTGCTAACACAACAGTTTCCTAAGAGTAGTGAAATGAAGGAAAGGTGAATGAAAAGGTTACTCAACTACACAGTGGGAAAGGCAAGGACTCATACCCATTATCCTAAGTATAATATGATGCAGTTGAAATCTATCCAATGACAAATTTCAGATAATACACAGGTAAATTTTATAGTCATCCATTCTTCATTACACACATGTAAGAATTAGCTCCTAATTATTTTAAAGCTCTGGAGTAAAGATGACACATAAGTGAGAGATTACAAAGGAACTGGAATTTTCATCATTGCCAAAATATGATATTTTATATATTTGGTATAAAAGTGAACTCTCCTAGAAGATTAATTTTTGACATAAATTCACCTCTCTTTTCACCTTACATTTTCAGCTTAATCATATGCATGAGACATATGTACTTCCTAAAAGCCAAATGCAATAAATTAACATTTAAATAATTTTTGTTAGATAGATCAGTTTCTTTAATGCATATATTTATCTCATAGTAATTGGCAATGAAAAAGCAAGAAAGTAAGCTTTCTTGTTTAAATGAATGTTCCATTTAAGAAAGGATAGATTTTGTATTGTTGCTTTAAACTGATCTCAACTACCAAATCCTAGTACACTTTTATTTTTTTTTTTTTTAATGTTTGTTTACTTTTGAGAGAGAGACACACAGAGTGTGAGCAGAGGAGGGGCAGAGAGAGGGAGACACAGAATGTGAAGCAAGTTCCAGGTTCCGACCTGTCAGAACAGAGCCTGATGCGGGGCTCAAACTCAGGAGCCTCAAGATCATGATCTGAGTCGAAGTCTGATGCTTAACCAACTGAGCCACCCAGGCACCCCAATCCTAGTACACTCCTGTAATGGTCTGACTGTTCCTCACTCAAATACATTTACCAATGCTAGGGTGCTGATATGAATGATAGAAAGGCTAAGGAGATGCAACCACAGAACCTACCTTGGTTAGGTGAATGACTCCTTTAGAAGTAACCGAACAACCCATGAAGCCAACGTACTGAAGTTCAGGACAGTGCTCAGCAAATGCTTTCACTGACTGATCTGTTACCTAGGGAAGGGACACGAATAAAGTTATTCAAAGTGGCATCCCAGCGAGTTTAAGGATTTGGCTCCTGCAAATTCCCTCTGCCCTACCTCGTGTCATTAATATTTCCCTTTCCGTTGGCTCATTTTAATCTGTTTACAAACATGCAGCAATATCTCCTGTGGGTTTTTTTAACTTTATTTCTTTTTCAAGTAATCTCTACACCCAACATGGGGCCTGAACTCACAACCCCAAGATCAAGAGGCACATGCTCTTCTGACTGAACCAGCCAGGCACCCACGATGTCAACACTCTCCATCACCACTTCTTCCTAACAATCTCTCTCAATATACATATTTTCTATTGACATATAATCCACACACTATAGCATTCACCCTTTCAAAGGGTACCGTTCAGTGGTTTTTAGCATATTCACAATTGTGCACCCATCTAACCCTAGAACATGCTTATCACCCCCAAAAGAGTTGCCCTCAATTCTTGGCAACTTTCCACCTCTATGGATTTGCCTGGTCTGAACATTTTTTATCATGGAAATTATATAACTGGTTCCTAAAAGACGACAATGGTCTCTTTATAAGGTTTCTACCTTCAAGTGTTTCTTTCAAGGAATCTGACTTTCCCCTAGCTGCTTCAAATTCTTTAAATTAGGGTGGTGTGATGATTAATTTTATGTGTCAACATGGCTATACAACGGGGCACCAAAATATTTGGTTAAACAGTGTTCTGGGTATGTCTGTGAGGATATTTGTGATGAGATTAACATTTGAGATGGTGTACTGAGTAAAGCAGACTGTCCTCCCCAATGTGAGTGGGGGCCTCATCTAATCCACTGGAGTTCTAAATGTAACAAAAAAGCTGAGTAAGGGAGACTTGGCTCACTCTCTCTCACTCTAGCTCTTTTGTTCTCGCTCTCGCTCTTTCTCTCTCTACCTGGCTATCTTCAAGCTGAGACATCAGTCTCCTACCTTCAGATTCAAACTTGGACTAGAACTTACACTGTTGGCTCTACTGGTTCTTATGCCTTTGGACTCAGATTAGAACCATATCATCAGCTTTTCTGTGTCTCCAGATTGTGACCTCAGGTTTTAGAACTTCTTGGCTTCCATAAATGTGTAAACCAATTCCTTACAATAATCTCTTTATAGAAACACACACACACACATTTTCTCTCTCTCTCTCTCTCTCTCTCTCTCTCTCTCTCTCTCTCTTTCTCTTTCTCTCTCTCTCTCATACGGATTCTGTTTCTCAAGAAAACCCTGACTAATGTAATACATATTAGAATTCCCTGAGGAGTTCATTAAATATTCAGAGCCAAAAGGGTGAGGCCCAAGAATCCCTATTTTTAAAAAATTTTTTTTTCAACATTTATTTATTTTTGGGACAGAGAGAGACAGAGCATGAACGGGGGAGGGGCAGAGAGAGAGGGAGACACAGAATCGGAAACAGGCTCCAGGCTCCGAGCCATCAGCCCAGAGCCTGACGCGGGGCTCGAACTCACGGACCGTGATATCTTGACCTGGCTGAAGTCGGACGCTCAACCGACTGCGCCACCCAGGCGCCCCAAGAATCCCTATTTTTAATAAGCCCCTGAGTGATTCCTAGGCATGTAAAAGCTTGAGGCCCAAGTGCTGCCAAGAAGTTACCTTGACAACTTTTGACATTTCCACCTGGCCCTGCTTTAAACAAAGGGCAAAGTGAAATTCCTTTTTTGTCTTCCCCCACCTCCAGAAAATTTCAGTGTATAAAATTATCCTCTTGAAATTGTGCTAAAATTTTCTTCACTGTTCCACAAAGTGGTAGTTTATAAAAGAAGGTCCAAATATTCTCTACCATAGGCTTAATTTCAGTTTCATTTTCTTCACAGTCAAGATGAGATCAACAAGTTAAACACCTTTGTTAGTTTTTCAAACAGCAGTGACAAATCTCTTTTGCATTAGCTTTAATATGGGTGACACTTTGTATCTTCCTTATCTATTCTGAATAGATATTGGAAAATAAAGGTATGTGGGTAGCATTAATTCTAAAACAATCACAAGAACATTTTCCTAAAATAATGAAACCAACAGCATCCATGGTACATCTGATAAAAGATTAATTCTGCACTCAAAAGTAAAGTATGCTTTAGCATATTAAGGCTAAGGGTGCCATTGATAAATTAAAAATGGGCCTTCCTGACACTCAGCTTTCTAAAAAACATTATGTTAACAAAGAATGTTTCAAGCACTAAAATCGCCTGAAGCCTCAATGGAAACCAATTTCTATTTTTTAAGAAGAGGGTAGGGGTTAACAGAGGTTAAATACATATGGTCAGGTGGTTAAATACCCTGCCCAATCTCACTCTAACATCTAGCCTTTCCTACCTCCATCTTCAAGGAAGGGAGAGGAACTCAGATAAGGATTGAGGACACAAGAAAGCTCAGGTCCAAGGTGTTAAATCTTGCAGAGAGAAGAAAAAAGAGTATTAAAAATTTGGTTTGCGGGTCTTCCTCGTTCAGCTCAAGCAATCAGAACAAGAGAACTCAGAGGAGCCTCCAGCACCAACAGAGTCCTATAAGTCAAGCAAGACCAGAGTAAGTCCTTGGGATATAGAAACACTCTTAACTACGCTTGGGTATGTTTTAGGAGACTAATCAAAGGGCCTTGAAGATTCGGGCAGGGTCTGGCTCCATTCCAAAGAATAGAAGATATGTTAGAAATTTGGGATTAAGTATCTCACTTGTTTCAGGCAGAAATAAGTATAGACTGCAAGCAGCAGGTACTGGTGAGTATCAGCTTCTCTGGGACCCAGTAGTCTGCCTAACTCTTTTCAAATCCCAGGTGGACCACTTATTAGCTGTGTGATTTTAAGCAGGTCATTTCATGTCTCTATACTTTGTTCCTTCTATAACACAGAGAAAATAACAGTACCTAGCTCACAGGGTAAAATATGAGGCGAGATAAATGCATATAAAATGTTTTGAACAGGACATGGTTCATTGTAATTGCTTAACACATTTTAGCTATTATCATCATAATCATCCCAGGCTCCCCTTTCTTCTGTATTCTAGTTCTTAGCCAGGACTAAGGGGTTGACATGTGTAAGAAAATAATTCAAAAAAAAAAGTGTAGTCAAAGCCTGCTGGCTTACCCTCCTACTTATTCCAAGACATTCTGATCATAATTTGGGGGCTCTAAGTTTTGGGCTAAACTGTGGGACGAGAGTGAGGGAGACATTGGTAGAAGCTTATTATTGAACCATTATGGTAAAAAGAATCCCATTTTGTTAAGGTTCTCAGCCTGACTGCACATCAGAATTACCTGAAGAGTTTCCTGATTTAATTTCTGGTGGAGATATGCCTTAATTTTATTCTAAAAGCTACCCCCCCCCCAACCCAGAGAGAGTCTAACATGCAGCCTGAGTTTTGAACAAGTTCAAAAGCCTTTCATTCAAAATGTGGCCAACAGCACTGGCATCAACTTGGAGGTTGTTAAAAATGCAAAATCTCAGACCCCATCACAGACCTACTTAATCCTAATCTACAGTTTAATAAGATCTCCAGGTGATTCCTTGTTTATTTGTTTGTTTTACTATTTATTTAAATAATCTGTACACCCAATGTGGGGCTCAAAATCACAATCTCAAGATCAAGAGTCTCATGCTTTACCAACTGAGCCAGCTAAAGAGCATCCCCCCCCCCCCAGGTGATTCTCATGTACCTTAAAGCTTGAGAAATACTACTGAAGGGACAAGGAGCTATGACATCTTCTTGGGGAGAGGGAAGCAAAAACTGGGTAGTTATCTCATAAACCAAGTGCTATGGAAAATTATTTAAACAGATTTATTGGGGTATAGTTTATACACCATAAAATTACTCATTTTATGATATAGTTTATTGAGTCTTAGTAAGCTTATACAGTTGTGCAACCATCACCACAATGCAGTTAAAAAAAATTTTTTTTAAGTTTATTTGTTTTGAAAGAGAGACGGTGCAAGTGGGGGAGGGGCAGAAAGAGGGGGAGAGAGCGAGAGAATCCAAGCAGGCTTCTGCTGCCAGCACAGAGCCCCACGTGGGGCTTAAATTCCCAAAATCGCAAGGTCATGACCTGAGCCAAAACCAAGAGTGGGACGTTTAACCCACTGGCCACCCAGATGCCCCACCACAATCCTTTTAAAGTGCCTCCACTGCACCACCCCCAACATGCCCTTCATCCTTTTTGCCCATATGCAGGCAATCACAGCTCCCACCCTTAAGCACCCATTGGTCTTGCTTTCTATCTCTATAGTTTGCCTCTTCTAGAAATTCCATATAAACAATTATACCATAAGTAGTCTTTGGTTTCTATCTTCTTTCACTAGCATAATGTTTTGGAGGTTCACCCTTGCTACATGGATCAGTCGTTGGCTCATTTTATTACTGAGCAGAACTCCACTGTATAGCTCTACTACCTATCTATTCACCAGATAATAAATATTTGAATTGTCTCCAGTTTGGGCTTTGATAAATAATCATGCTGTGATCATTCACATATAATACTTTGTATGGACATATATTTTCATTTCTCTTGGATAAATATCTAGAAGTAGAGTTGCTGAGTCATGTAAGTTTTGTTTTTTACACATTTTAAAAACTGGTTTGTTGTCTTACTAAGTTTAAAAGCGCTTTATATACTCCAGACACAAGTCCTTTATCAGATATTTGTTTCATAAATATTTCCTTCCATTCTATGCCTGGTCTTTTCATTTTCTTAATAGTAGTCTTAGCTCTAACCTTTAGGTCTATTGTGCTCTAGGAGTTAATTTTTGTGAACAGCGCCAAGTAAGGTAAATATTCACTTTCTTGCATATAAATATCCAACTGTCCTACCACCATTTGTTTAAAAAATTACATACTGTGGTTTCCAGAGTACAGATCTTTTACCTTTTTGGTGAGGTTTATTCCTAAGTATCTTATGGTTTTGGTGCAATTGTAAATGGAATCGATTCCTTGATCACTCTTTCTGGTGCTTCATTCTTGGTGTATAGA